ATTGTACCCCAAATGCGTGGCACTTAGTATTGTGCTCAATGTACCTTTTTACTGAGTGTTGGGAAGCCGAGGTTGTATATGTGGAAAGCTGCATGGTGTTTTCAATAGCAAGTATATGAGGTGGCATTTAACCTCCAAAACTTGTGGGTTGTGACTAGGACAGCTTTTGTCCTGCGCCCATCAGAAGCTACTACCTGTCTCCAGCACAGTGAGGCTGAGCCGCAAAGCCGGGTCCCTCTGGCTTGCATAAATGTGTGTTCCTAAGGGGAATTTTGCTCCCTAATTTAAGGCAGCTTTATAATTTAACTTTGGAGTCATTTCTCATTTGAGTCATTTCTTGTTTGCCATCTGGCCTTGTAATTACTCTTAAGTAAAGCTATGTATAGGAGGAAAGACACAAACTGGAAATCTGTGATACTCTGTATGGTGAGATGATAATACATGTGTTTTACTTGTTTGTTTCCTTTGTTTTTGCTGCTGTCCAAAACATAAGATGAAGAGTTGGGAGGGGGGTGGCAGGGGGGAGGGGAACATTTGAGGAGGAATCATTCCAAAGCTTTCCCTAGAGGGAGCCCCTTATATAAATTTTCTTCTTTGACTAAGAGCTTTTGTTATAAACTAAATGTTTTGCATTAGTGGATTATTGCATTTTTCCATTCATTTACAAGTCTGGCCCTAAGCTATGAAACAAGAGGTTGGCTAACATGTCTCCACAGCTGTTCTGACGTGAATTGAAACTCGGCAGAGGTGTGAGGATCATTCTTTTCCTTGGTCCGTTTTCATAGTATCTCCCTACCTGGGGTTTCCTTTTTCTTCAGTCCCTGTATCCCAGAAGGTACTTTTCCAGTGCCGGCTTGTGTATTATTATTTCTGATTCTTCCCTTTCTACTTGTGTCCCCAGTTCATAGAGGTTAATTGCAAATGGACAAAAGAACCAAACCCAGGAGCATATATTCAAATTAAAAGAGAAACGTAAATAATGTTTGTTTGGAATTACTATTCTCCCTTGTAAGGAGGGGCTGGATGTGTGTATGTGTGTGTGTGTAGAGTTTTTTAAACCAGATGCTTAGATGGTAATTAAATTTAAAATACAGATTTAAATCATTACAGTACAATTACAATGCTGATTCTCAGTCACTGGCAAAACAAACACAAAAAACCAAAAAAACAAAAACTGAAAAAAGCAAACAAAAACCTACTTGATAAGAAGCCAGGAGGTACTAATTTGCATGAAAATGCAACCAAGTCATCATTTACAGCTCTGAGGAGGTTCTGTCGTAAAGTTTTACTGCTTGTAAAGGTTCCTTTGGTGTGGGAGGCAGAGCCTGGGGGCGTGGTCGGGGAAACAATACTTGGGCTCTTCCTCCCCCCTCTCCCCCCCACCGCACCCCCACCAAATCAGTTTAAATGCCTGAATTAACTGGAGAGTCCAAGAATCAAAACATACTTGCTGTACGACTAAGACTCTTGTAGGCTCCAGTAAAAAAGATCTGGATGTCCCTAGCAGCCTAGTGAAAATAGAGCACACATTTGCTTCGCCTTGACTTGCGTAGAGGAAAATCGGCTCTATTTTTGTGGACTCCAGAGAGGAGAAACTTCTGATCTGTTGGCGAGAAAGTGAATAAATGAGCGCTGAGGCGGAAAGACTGATGTGGCCATCATGCAAATAAGAACGGTGATTGGCTTTCTCTTTCTGTGCACTTTGTCACTGTGGCTCCCAGCCTTAAAGATTAGGTTTCACTGGGAGCTTTTCAGGTTCAAGGACTGTTAATGGCCTGACAATAAACTCAACCTCAACATTACATCAGCCCCCGGCAGATGTCTATGGATTTGAGACTGGAGGAAGAAAGTTAGAATCTGGAGCAGAAGGATACAACTTGCCACCTGTCTGATGGGCTGAGCTTTTAGTGTGATTTAAATTTCTAAGCTCTATGCAGGCATTCTGGAAATGGTGGCCTTCATTAATGCAAAACTCAAGTCTTTAATTAAACTTTTTAAGAAAAAAAGTAAGTAATTTCTCCCCCCCCCCCCGTGTGTGTGTGTGTGTGTGTGTGTGTGTGTGTGTATAATTTTTATGTACTACTTCATCTTTTTGAGTGATGGAATTAAAATGTGAAACAACATAATCAGCAAAAATTAAACTCCATTTTTTACCAGGTTGTTCAAGTACTTCAGACTTTATAACTCTAGGGCAGAATTGTGATTTTAGCATGTCTTATTTATTTATGGTTGGGATTTTTGGTGAATTTACTTCTTTTGTGCTTCTCAAAAGAAGCCCTTTGAAAAAGGGAGAAAAACCTTGTATTTACCTCAGATCCACCTTGATAGATGGTTTTTTGATTCTTTGGCTTACTGTGCAGGGAGGCTGTGTGTGATCTATCGTGTATTTTGGAGATGATCCTCTAAAACTCCCTGGAACTCTCTGTTCCGTATTTTAGAGCTCGAGGAGAAACTCTGTCTAGACGGATCAGTCACTGTAAAGAGTACAGCTTTTGTGGCCTGGCCTCATTGTGTACTTCCCGTTGTCTTAAATTTCTTTAATCCAGGTGCTTCTTCGTTCTCTGCAGAGTATACATTTTACAAACGCATGGTTTTGTTTTTACATAGGTGTTGGCTGAGTTTAGTGTAGTGTTTGGACCAGTAATTTAAACTGGATAAATGCGGATGGATAAGAGCACTGGTAATGGAGATAGTGGGGAAAGCAACAAAAAACAGCACTCAGGGCCCATTCTCTGCAGCTCCCTTGGTTGAAGGCTGTCTTTGGACAGACCGATTAAAATCTGCCCTGGCAAGAGCGAGATGCTGCGGAGAAGAAACAGCCATTCTTTCACAGGAGCCCGTTGGTAGCTGGACAAGGGGCTGATGATGTGATTGCACAGACACAGTACCATTGCTTGGATTTGATTTGTAATTGATAAATAGGAAGTCTCGCTTCTCAATATTTTCCAACTATGAAGCATGGTGATCCAGCCTCAAATAAGTGCACATCAGCACAAAACATTGCAGTTAAGAATGGCTATGCTTTGGAGGACATGTGGCGAGTTGCGCCCTGTATAGGATTCTCGTGCACACACATAAAGACTAAATCACGTCTTTGTGGATCTTATGTATTGAGATTGATAGTTACGTGCACCATGCAAAACGCTGTTCAACAAGAGGTTACGTGAAATACGAGGTACCTAATTTACATGCTGTTCTTGTCAACCATTAAAACAGCAGACAACCCACAGGCATTTCTGTTTTTAGCTTGATGTCTAGTTCTCAATGTTTATTTTCTCGTTCAGCAATTTATGGAGAAGGTGGGCTGATTTGAGAAACAAATTATTTGGAGATGAGGCTTGTTGAATTTAATAGCTGTAGACAAGATGGGCTGTGGGGAGAAAGCTACTCTGTGACTCAGCTTCCCAGGGGCACCAAGAAAGGCCAAGTTCCCCTTCAGCCCAAGCTATAAAGTCAGGGGCTTCCTTAGAGTTATATCACTGCTCCTACCACAGTCACGCTTTACATATATTATTTCATGTGGTTTTTATAGTAGCTCTAATATGGTGCTATTAGGTACTTTAACTTAATTTAAAATATGTTCAAATAAAAAAGTTCAGTAGTTCATGCATGCTTATTCATTTTATCTTGAGACTCTATTTTATGGTCTCATTTCCAAAACATACTATGTTGTAGTAACACATATGCTCAGTGCGCACTTTATAGCGCAGGTCAGGGTCAGCAAAGACTTGCCCCTGGCCCACAGTTCTAGCATTTACTGTTTTTACAGGTGGGGCTTGTCCCCCTCAGTAAATGTCTCAACACAGAGTTTTTCTCTGAAACGTCTCTAGTCTCTCCTTATTACGGTAGCAGGTATATAGAAAGTGTTACATTTGTTGACGGTTGTGTTTGGTACCCCCAGCTTCGCGTTGGGCTCCACTGGTACCCCCAACTTAGTTTGTGTTCTCAGGAAAAAATGAAAGAGACACCAAGATCCCAAGCCCTCGGGGGAATCGAGGCAAATTATTATAGAGATTTAGGATACTCCTGTGGCTGCACATCATTTCCTCCTCTAACATTCTCATTTGTGTTAGGAAAATTCAATTGAATTGGATTATTTTGGGAAAAGCTAATTGCCTTGGAAGTGTAAAAAAAAAAAACCACATTTTAATAGAAAAGTATTCCATGAAAAAAAATTCCACGAAAGCAGGAAATGTAGAGAAAAATCTTGTCACACAAATTGATTTCTACTTTTATGAGATATGCCATTTAAATGTATTTCAAAATATTGAATCTGCTCACTTTAAAAAAAAGGAATTGAGCTTATTACAGTGATGTTTTAAAGTAATGCTTTAGAGGGGAAAGATTTGGTCTCAGCCTCTTAATAGGAGATTTGTTTTTGTCTTGACAGTCTAACATTTACTGATGTGATGGCAATGTATGATTAGATAATACATACTCATTATGATGGAGTTAAGTGGGAAGTGGAGGTCTCTATCAATTTTATTTATGTATTTTGAGAGAGAGTATGTGTGCATGAACTCACAAGGGGAGAAGAGGCAGAGAGAATCCTAAGCAGGCTCCACACTGTCAGCACAGAGCTGGACGTGGGGCTTCATCTCATGAACTGTGAGATCATGACCTGAGTGGAAATCAAGTGTGGGACGCTTAACCCACCGAGCTACCCAGGTGTCCCTTTATCACTTTTCTTAATTGTTTTCTAACTTTGGAGTAGAGCAAGTGCCTAAAATGCTGGGCAGCAATTAACTGAGGAAACAAATTCTACCAAAACATCGTGGGCGATGATGGACAGTTTCAGCTTTTCCTATAGGGACAAAACACTGTGTGTGACGGACCTTAGAGCCTAAGGTGAAATCTTATTCAGAATTTGCTCCATTTCCCCCTTGTTGGCCCTTAACCCACGGGTGTGTTAGGCACCAGGAACCCATCTTTCCATAAAGTATTTGGAGCCGCTGAAGCTTATTTTGACACCATGATTTATTCTGCCTTCCTTCCTACAGCTGTTTCCAACCTCGATGAGGAGAGTAGATGGACGGTCCACTACACGGCCCCGTGGCACCAGCAGGAGAATGTGTTCCTTCCTGCCACCAGACCGCCCTGTGTGGAGGACCTGCACCGCCAAGCCAAGCTCAACCTCAAATCCGTATTGAGGGGTAAGACTGCATCCTGCAAGCTTGCAGTTCCGGGATCGCTGACCGTTAGCAATCAAACTGGGCTTCCATTTCTATTTGTAAAAGAAGACCTATTTATAGAGAGCATACAGGATGCTGTTCTTTCAAAGTATCATAAATACTTACAACCTAATACATGCCCAATACATTCTGGTTTCTGTGGAAACGCACATGCAGATCTGCCCTCAAAGACCCCCACCCCTGCTTAGAAACTCTTTAGCATGTTCAGGGGCACCTGGGTGGCTTAGTCGGTTGAACATCCGACTTCGGTTCTGGTCATGATCTCACGATTCGTGAGTTCGAGCCCCACATCGGGGCTCTGTGCTGACAGCTCAGAGCCTGGAGTCTGCTTTGGAGTATGTGTCTCCCTCGCACTCTGCCCCTCCCCGACTCATGCTCTGTTTCTGTCTCTCAAAAAATAAATAAATGTTTTTTTTTTTTAAATAAATAAATGTTTAAAATATTTTTTAAAAAAGAAAGAAAGAAAGAAAGAAACTCTTCAGCATGTTCAAGCCACCAGTACTAATTTAATCCAAATAAACCCCTGCTGACATGGGACATTTTGCCATTGCCTTTTTTAAAGAAGTATTCAAAGCAGATTTGTTAAAGCTAATACTTTCTAATGGTTTGTTCTGTTTAGTTCAAGTTTGGCGGAAAGGGGACCTATATATAGACTTTGAAAGCATTCAAAGTGGTTGGTTTTATCGGAACTTGGGCAGCACCCAACTGCTCTCCTGTTAAGCATTAGGTTTTGTCAAAGAGGTGGGCAGACTACATGATGGACAGTGAGAAATAGAGGAAGAGTGTACTCCTGTATCTAGTTTAAATTTTTTACTTTTACCTCAACTTCCTGTGGATGTTAAGGAGTCTAAATGTGTGGCAAGGAGGGCTTCTTAAAAGTGATAAAGAAAGAGGGGGAGGTCCCTGGGTTAAGCATCCAACTCTTGGTTTCAGCTCAGGTCATGTTTATGAGCTCAAGCCCCACATCAGGCTCCACACTGACAGTGCGGAGCCTGCTTGGGATTCTCTCTCTCCTCTCTGTCTGCCCCTCCTCTGCTGGCGTGTTTTCTCTCTCTCTCTCTCTCTCTTTCTCTCTCTGTCTCTCAAAATAAATAAACTTAAAAAAAAAGTGATAAAGAAGGGAAGAAGTTCTTTAAACAAAGGAGTGTCTTAAGATTCAGAGACTTTTTTCTTAAAACAGCAAACTTACATTCTTATTTTACCAGATGCTGGTTTTACTAATTTTCTCCTACCAGGCAATATTTGGGGCACAGTTTTATTTAAAAAGTACTTGTTGCTGGGGTGTCTGGCTGGCTCAGTCGGAGCTATGCAACTCTGATCTTGGGGTCCTGAGTTCGAGCTCCACACTGAATATAGAGATTACTAAAGTAAATAAATAAATATATAAACTTAAAAAAAATCAAAAGTACTTTTTGTTTTTCTGAAATGTAACTGGATATCCTGTATCTTATCTAATTGTGAAAGACTTAAATCTGGAAGAAATCTGTTATTGATTCAAGGGAAACCCAGCACAAGGAGCCCAACTAATATTTATTAAACACTTGTCTATATACCAGCTTCAGTTCTAAACCCACAACACACATTATCCCATTTAATCCTCACAATAATCTTGTTTACTATTTTTATGCAGATTTTACAGATGATGAAGTGGAGACACACAGATTCGAAACTCACCTGAGATCTCAAAGTTAGCTCTTTGTTCTGTTTTATTTTTTTTTTTAAGTTTGTTTATTTTTGAGAGAGAGAGCTGGAGCAGGGGAAGGGCAGAGAGAGAGAGAGAGAGAGACAGAGGATCTAAAGCAGGGCTCGAAGTCATGAGCCACGAGATCATGACCTGAGCCAAAATCAGACGCTTAACTGACTCAGTCTCCCAGGCGCCCCTCAAAGTTAGTAAATGATGGGACCAGGATTTAAACATGAACAGTCTGAGGCTGCAGGGCCTATGTTGTTAACTGCTGTATTATATTGTCTTTAACATCCATTTGTTGGAAATTTTTTATTCTGGTAGAAATGCAGGCTACAAAGGCAGGGTCTTGGCTCTCAAGGAATTTATACTTACTTCTATAGTACCAGTCAGAATTGTCAACAATTCTCAAGAGATGTGCCAAAAAGTACTGTATAGGAATTAGAGAAAGCAGATAGTTTCTTCCTTTTTTTTTTTTTAAGTTTGTTTGTTTTGAGAGAGAGAGCGAGCGAGCACGCAAGTGGGGACAGAGCAGAGAGGGAGAGAGAGAATCTCACCAGCGCGGAGCCTGATGCGGGGCTCGATCTCATGAACCATGAGATCATGACCTAAGCCAAAGTTGGACCCTTAACCGACTAAGCTACCCAGGCATCCCAGAAAGCAGATAAATTCTGCTTAGAGAAAGAAGGAATAGCTATCAAAATAGACTTGGTATTCTGAACAGAACTATACAAGTATTTTAGATGATCACCCTAGTTTTTCTTCCTTGAATCTTTCCTAATGCTTAGATTACCTCATGTATCTTACAGTATCTTACAGTCTTGGGCATTGAACTGTACAGAAATTCGGTTATTGGGTCCCCTTTTTCATTTAGCCAGTCATATAATTTGTGACTGTATGCTTAAATGAAAAGAACTGCTTTACTTGGGTTCTTTTATATGGCCTTGGAATTGTCCTTGGATCTTTGCTGCCTTCATGATGTACCTAAATCAATCCAAATTTTCTGCTAAATCCCATCACTACCTAGTGATTTATCTTCAGTACATTTTGAACAAGAGCTTCTCTACTTATATTTCACCTTCTTCCACCAAATAATTAATAAGAATAGTAAATGGCACGGTTCCCAGGACAAACCCCCGAGGCAGTGCCATTGTTAACCTTTCTCTCAAGAGCTACACCATCTGGCTTGTGGAGAAGCTCTCAGGAAGGTATGTGTGAGTTTAAATATCAGCCCCAGCCTTTTTTTTTTTTTTCCTTCCTCTTTTTCTGATCACTCTTCAGGAAATTGTACTTCACTACCTGTTTCATGTATTTTCAGGTATCAGATCAAAGCTTCTCTTTTCTTCCTGTAGAAAATTGAACACCTGTATATAGATTTTTCCGATTTTATTTTCTTTTTGATTATTCAGTAGCTCCATATGAAATATCATCACCGCTGGTTTTCCCTGCACTTGAATTTTATTTTGAAAAGGTAAATGCTTTAGTAACTGCCTTAATGCCCTAAAATGCCTCATCGAAGGGACTTACTATTTAATAAAATTAATAACTTTGGAAAATTCTTGGAGCTCATCTTTTAAAGTCTGGATTTAAATACTCCTTAAGAGACTTTAGATAACTAATAATGTTAAGAACAGTGATTGAGCAAAATCAAATGGAAAAGAGTGTCTGAGTCGTTTTCCTCTTCACTTATTTACTTTTAATCACATGCACAGAACTTCATACACCACACCTCACATACATCACACTAGCAACTCAAGATAAACATGAGTACAGAGCATTTATTGCCTCATTATCAGTGAAGATTAAACAGAAAAAAATTCAGTTCCTGGATATATGGCACGTATAAAGGTGTGATGCTATACAAAAGCTATTAGTCTAAGTTAATTTGACCTCAGTGTTCTTTGTTTAAAAATATAGAAAGGTAGTCAGGCCACCTGGGTGGCTCAGGTGGTTGAGTGTTGCACCCTTGATTTTGGCCCAGGTCACAGTCTCAGGTTTTGTGAGTTCGAGCCCCGAGTCAGGCTCTGTGCTGACAGCATGGATCCTGCTTGGGATTCTCTCTCTCCCTCATCTCTCTGCCCCTCCCCTGATCACTCATATGCTCTCTCTCTTTCTCAGAAAGAAATAAACTTTATATATATAAAGGTAGCTAATTATTAACAATGAGTAACCTATTTTGTTCGTTTTCTTCTTACTGTGACCTTATCCATAATTTCAAGGAAGGAATACTATTCTTTAATGCTAAACAGGTTGACACTTTTTATGATCATTAAAGGCTCATTGTAGAAGTTCTTCTGTCAGTTTTTATAAGGAGGTCAGCTCTCAAGGATCATAAAATAGGGAAATGATATAGTGAGTACTAATAAATTAATAACTAAGTGTCATAAACATTTGCTTATTACAGTAATGCAGAAATACAGGTAGCCACTGAAGGTTTTACTGGAAAATGTTTTCATGAAAAAGCTAAGTTTGGGTTAGCACATAAAGGCAGGTAATGAACTCAATGTAGTAAGTATATGAGCATCAATTCTGTACTATGCCAGGAGATTTTAAATGAACTAATAAAAGTACATGGGTCCCTGATTTAAAGATCTGAGCTTGCTGTCTTGTGTCAAGACTGAAGTAAATAGACAGTGGTGTAATGGAGAGGTGTATGAAGTCCAGTGGGCAGGTAGAGAGCTCAGTCAGCTGGAAAAGAAAAGCTTTGGAAGACCCCTTCCCCACCTCCCCCCATTGAAGGGGAGATGGACCCAGTGTGTAAAATGGCATATTGAATGCCTGGAGCAGGTGTCTTCCATGTACAAGTTCACTCTATTCTGATTTAAGTAGAGCAGAGATCTTTTGTATTTGTTGTTGGCTAGTGTCTGGAGAATTTGATCGAATTTAGTGGGCATGCTTTTAGAGCAGATGATTTGCTTTTGTTGATTTGTTACTAGAGATTTAAGTAGTGATTTACTGCTAATGAACACATAAACATGTACCTAGATTTATATTTTTTTTTAACATTTATTATTTTGAGAGACAGACAGAGCATGAGTGGGGGAGGGGCAGAGAGAGCGAAAGAGAGACACAATTAGAAGCAGACTTCAGGGTCTGAGTTGGCAACACAGAGCCTGACGCAGGGCTTGAACTCGTGGACTGTGGGATCATGACCTGAGCCAAAGTTGGATGCTTAACCAACTGAGCCACCCAGACACCCACATGTACCTAGATTTATAAATGGTATTTTGATATTTGGCTTAACAGGACATCTGTCTGGCAGTGAACAGTTAATTTC